ACCTAACTTTTTAAAAGCCCTAAACCTTATGATGACCGATATTCGGGCCACAGCCCCAGACTAGGAGTCGATTCGGAACAGGGTGTTACATTATGATTATGGTTATGACAAATTCACATATATAGGAACACATACACAATAAAATCTAAGTGTTATAAGGTTTCTCTCCGTTTAATGAAAATGATTGTGAGGAAACGCTTTCACTAAGAGAGATTTTAAGAAGATAGCAATTGTGATATTTGCATTCTCAAATTCGATTATGACTACGGCATCCCTCTTCATAGTTCAAATTGTGAGATTTGGCAATTAGTTTGAACATTCGAGACTTATTTCTATAAGTTCTAGAATTGTTAGAAACACATATGAGCTATCTAAGGAAAGGTGTATGAATTAGAGAAGCTTAGATAAGGATTTATCAAAGCATCTCGTATCAGAAATATTAACTTTGGTAAGAAAGTCAATAAGTATTGATTTCTAGAAGTCCAGTTGTTTTCTGAGTACATGTCAAAGCTAGTGGGAGCATAAATGTTATGATGGTATGGATATAATTATCATGTTAGTGGGAGCATGATTATTATTTTAAGTGTTGCAAGTTTGCAATATTAATTATAGAAAACAAAAGTTTCACTTTGTAAAGTTGTAGGGGTTGAGAAGTTGTTTTGCTATAATTAAGGGAGAGAATATTATACTTCATTTCAAAATCTAAAGGCTTGGATCGAGAAATTTTAATCAAATTTAGTCAAAGGACATATATGGATGTTATATTGAAAAGGTTCAACTTAAAAGAATTCTATATATGACAATATTATAGCAAGAAACTGGTAAAGTATCACATTTTTTCATGAATCATGTCTCATACGCTACTGGTATAGGATTCTATTAAGAATGAGTTGTCATATGGCAAATATGGAAATGTTTCCATATTGGGAGTTGAAAGTTAAGAATTTATGTCTAGATTAGAAACTTTTATGCAAGAAGGATGTTCAAAGGAATGTACTTTGAATGTGAGACTTCATATCTATGGAATTGCCTTGTAACAATCTCCAATAGAGCACTTTGTGATTTCATTGGCAATGTCTTGGTGACTTTGAAGCTATGACATTAGAAAAGGATAATTGCATAAAGTATTAGAATCTAACATATTCTAATAGTGGCAAGAATTTTGTATTCTTACATTAACGATAAGGATTTAGGAATTGTGAAATGAGTATCATTGGAAATGTGTTCAATTGATCTATTTCGCAATGTAAGGACCATAGGTAAACATAGTGTGCATGCTTAGAGCATGGGACAACTGTTGTTATAATTCAAGTAATAAGTTGATTATCCGAAACATTATACAATGAATAATGAGTAATCAATATGGTGATTAAATAAAGGTGTTTTATTTATACTCAAGAGTTTGGGACCATATAGGATTAGTATTATTCTTGTGTTTCACTTTGCATATTTTGACTTCTCGAATAATAAGATTATTCAAACCATCCACAGTCGATAAATACTTTGGAAGTAGGTATTGAAGCCAGGCTGTCATGAATCCGACTGTAGATTGTCTAAAGCGTTTGGACATAGCAAAAGTATGATGCAGTGTTCATGAGTGCTCCTGTAATAAGATTAGAGTACTGGATTAAACCCACGCTCACTTGAATCACTTCATGGATTTTATCACGAATGATTAGTAAGACGATAATATCTTATATATTCTTGAAACAGAGACATGTGAGTTGTAGTTTACAAGTCGGTTGCGCATTGACATATGTAAACGCACCAGTAACTTGGTGTTATAAAACATATTGTTGTGTGTAATTTGATGAGTGAGTACAAGCAAGCATTTGAGTCGAATTTTATCCGTTCCTTTTACCCAAAGTTGGATAAAAGCGATATCTGTGAGCCCCTCGATGATTTAGTGATGACACCCTAAAGCGCTTGGCCAAGCCAGGACTGATTTGATTTGTTCAATTAGTCAGTCGTCATAAATCAGAAATCGGGAAACAACACATAGACTGAGAGAATGATTATAATCCATGTCTCATGTCTATACGACATCTAGAATGGAGGAATATATGATCCCTTATCTAAAGGACGCGTTACTGATAAGATCAGAGTTGACAACGGCTTTTGAAAGCTACGATTGCTAATGAGGTTCTAAAGTCGTACTTGCAAAATAGTTATTAGACTTATCCAAGTGGGAGACTGTTGGATTAGGTGTTTAAGCCCATAATTATTTTGGTATGTACTTGACCCGATTATGAGCATGGTCCTTTTGGGTTGCCTTCACCATAGCAACTGATAGGATGAATTATGGAGAAAGAGGGTTAACTATGATTTATTAATATATTATGTGAATAATATATTAAAAGAGAAATCATATTGTTTAATTAATATTGATCAAGAATTAATTTAGAATTAATTTTGTGGTCAAAAGAGATTAATTAAATTAAGGGGACTGATACTGTAACTATAAGATAGTTACAAAGTTGGGCTTAGGATCCATAAGGAAGCAATGGACGAATTCTATATGAGAGTCCATATAGAAATCGTCCAAGGGGCCTTCTGGAAGGATCTTTGGGCTGCTTAAGGACTAAGCAACTGGATTAGGGTTTCCAAATTGAAAATCCTAGTAGCCTCAACTATATAAGGACCCCTAAGGCTCCCAAAAACATGGCTAAGCATTACTAAGAATATCTTGAACATTTTTGGTGCCTCTCATCTCTCTCTCTTGTTCTTCCTTGTTGCTAGTGTTATTTGTGACTCCATTAGAGGTGCAACACTTGGGGCACTAGGCTTTCAGAAGTCAAGATCAAGAAGGATTGTGATTGTTATTGCTACATAATAATCAAGGTAATGTTTCTAACCCTAATCATATGTCAATTTCGAATTATATGCTAGTTCATAGGGTCTATTGCTTTGGTATTCAATGTTTTATGTTCAATTTAGAAAAAACCTAGATCAAAGCAACTAGGGTTGCATGTACACCATAGGAATGATGTTATGCTCATAACCCATCACACCAAAGGCTCATAAAAATCTAAACTTTATAGACATGCATGTCTCATGTATGTCCTTTACCCAAGCTAGGTCAAAGAGGTGAAAATATGACCAAAAACTCATACAAAGTTCACAAACCACATCCAACTCTGAGATCCATAATATATGACGATATTGGGACTTAGAATGACCATAAAGTTGCTAAGTTTATTCTATCCACTCACTCTAAACAAAACCATGGACCAAAATGGGCTGAAACAACCAATATCTAAGAGAACAAACCATAAAGATGAAAGCTTGAATCCTTACAAATGGTCCAGAAAATGATCTCAAAGATGGGGATATGTTGATCCTTGCACCAAATCTTCTTCTTCCTTTAAAGTTCACCAAAACACCAAGGATAAGCTCAAATATAGGAGAGAGATGATTAGGGTTTCTTCAAGGTTCTTGGAGGTGATGGAGGCTGAGGATGGAGGAAACCCTAGCCATAACTTCCTTTAAATAGGGCCTTAAGCCCAAAATTTAGGGTTTGCTAAAAAACAGTCGCCACCTCGTGGCTAATATATTGCCACATCGTGGCGATTATTTGAGATGCATGATTCTATCGGGTCACGCCACATCGTGGTGACACCTCACCCACGTCGTGACCATCCAATATTTTAACTTTATTTAGAAAATGTAACATCTGGAAAATCAGATGTTACAATCTTTCTAACCCTTGTAATTAGATCTTTGGTTATTAGTTCTATCTTTGTAAAATGTATTCTTAAAACTCTCAATCCATTTCCAATAACATAGAGAAGTCCTCGATTACAACTTGGACTCCGCTAAAAGAGGTAGATTTGGTTCGCGTATAGGTTGATATATTGGGCAATCCTTTATTAGGAAACCATTTGGTTAACTTTGTGGAGGAAAGTTACCACACGTTTCCTCAACGAAATACATAAAAGTTACCACATGTTTAAATTTTCTTTCTAGACCCGATTGTAGGTTTGGAGACTATTAATTCGCCTATGGTTTGTTTGTAGTCTGAGATTAACCGGGGAAGCTGACTAAAGAGAAGATAAGTTGGTGATGTGGGTCGCTATCGGAGGTCGGAGGACTGGTGGTGACATAAAAAGATTACAGGCGGCGAATAAGGGAAAGGAGTCAAGAATGTATGTGTATTTCATGAGAAATCGGATCATGACTGGAATCTTCACAATGGTGGTGTTAAATATCATCCATGTTTGGAATTCATTCGGTCAAATTTGTACATAGGGTTAGAGGAAGAATTATGATTATATAAGTTAAAAATATTTTGATTCAGATGTTTATGGAGGCATTTGGTCTAGGGTTTGAGGAAGGTGACGGTAGAAAGAGAATACCTTTATTTATTTATTTTTATTCTTAATAAAAAAATGAAAAGAATATATAAAAATGAAAAGTAAAATAAATAAGTCTAAATTGCAAGTAAAAACACACGGACAAAAAATTAAAAGGGTTAAAAAGTCTTTTTCATAGCAAAAAGTCTTTTAATAGTCGTCGTGCTTATGTATGTTTTAGGAAACCATAGGGACCTATTGCATAATTTTATCAAAATTGTAAATAAAAACCAGAACCGGCAAAAACCATCCAACCTACAAACCCAAAATTAATAACCCACATTGAGATTTTCAAGTCTAAATTCATCAACCAATTTAACTAATTGGGTTAGGTTTGATAAAAAATATCAACTAATGTTGTATTATCTTTTCTTTTAAAAAGATGCAACCATAATTCTCATTTGTAAAACAATCCTATCCTATATACTTGTGAACTAACTCCTCTCACGATTGGTCAATCCTAAATTGTTGAGCTTGAATTATATAAATGGATCAGCCCATTTAACTAATAAATTATGTTGGGTTTAAAATTTCAATCCATTTAAATAAAATGGGTTTGGTTAAATTGGGTTTGGGTTTGGGTTTGGTTGATTTGTTCGAATCATTTAATAAACCCAATCAAATAGCTCTAGTAAAACCTAAAAACTCTATAGATTCCTGCAACTAAACCCTAGTTGTATCGCAAATTCGGATCCCAATGATGTCGCTTACAGTGAGAGTCGACGAGTTGGAATCGAGAATGAAATTAGTGCAAACGGAAATCGGTAATGTTCAATCAGAAATTGGATCGATGAAAGAAGATATGCAGAAGATGATGAAGCTATTCGAACTATTCGTCAGAAACGTGGGTAATGATCGTGAGATAAATCGTTTTACTGCAATTAAAGAAAGAAAACTAGATTTACCTAGTTTCGACGGAAAAGATCCGGAAGATTGGATCTTTAGAGCAGAACATCACTTTGATCTCAATCGTCTAACAAATGAAGAACGTATCGAAGCAGCGGTGGTAGCATTTGAAGGAGACGCAATTAGATGGTTTCAATGGGAGAGTAAGAGAAGTCCGATGATTCAATGGGAAGACATGAAACTCAAATTGTTGAAGCATTTCGGAATCACCGGTTCTGGTTCACTCTTTGAGCAATTTCTGGAAGTGAAACAGGAGGGAAATGTTGCTGATTATCGAAGGAAATTTGTGAATTTAGCTGCACCTTTAGATGATATATCTGAAGAGATGTTCTTGGGTCAGTTTATGAGTGGTTTACAACCGATGATCAAAGCTGAACTGAGGCTTTTTTCACCGGAAAACGTGTCTGATGCAATGGATATTGCAAGTAGAATTGAAGAGAAGAATAAATCCCTCGTAAGTGCTGGAAATTGGTTCCATGATGAGGAAGAAGTTGATCAAGGGGTTCTTGCTTATCTCCGTTTTCCTCCAAATTTGTAAGTTTAACATTCTTATTACAACATTGGATTTTGAAAATTCTATCCACTTACATCAATGTCATCCAAATTCAATGCACATTTTTCTGCTATAATTGGGTTGACTTTTCAAATTAGTTTCACTTGAATTTGATGATTTTGAAAGGTTTTTTCTTTGCAGCAATAACGATGAGGGCATACATATAAATGAACTTGAACAGAGGTTGAAAGTTTCTCATGACAAAATCATGTAAGCCCTCCTCTCTCTCTATCTCTCAATAACTTATTAAATGTGAAATTATTATTCGATAAGAGTAAAATGTAAGAATTAGCATCACACTTTCATTTATTTGTTTATTATTTTAGTATCATACTTTTGAAAACTACAATAAGCAGTTTTTCAAAGTATTTATTACATTTAGAACATTGGTTTATGACAGGGAATCACTAAGAAGACTTGAAGGTGAAGGCAAGATATATGCATCAATCGATTTATTCCACTACAAAGCAACAAGCAGCAATTGATGATATATATATATATATATATATATATATATATATATATATATATATATATATATATATATATATATATATTATATATATATAGTTTTGTACAGTTGATTTTTTTCTGCAACCGAAACTTATGTGAAAAAACTTGGTATCAAGTCCTAAGAAAACTATTTTTTTTTTTTCGTCTGAATATTTGGTGCAACTAGATTGGATTTGTTTGTTTTTTTATCTTTTGGTCTTTTTTGTTTTTTTCAGTTGATTGAAATAATAATTAAAATCTTAAGTTTATTGAATTTAAATCTATGAAAGAATAACGAATGCTTTGATTTTTCTGTAATATATAATAATGAAAAGCATTCTAGAATTTATATTTGACTGCCAATCAATTGGAGTTTTAGTGATGTTTTGCAATTTGTTACTTTTGAAACAAAAAAATTCAAAGGTTAATAATATTACACTTAGTTATTAAGTTGTTTTTTACCATTGAATAATGAAAATGATAGTTTTGGTCATTTTTGGCAATCAATTTTTTTGGTTTTGTGATTTGTATAATTACCTTTTTTTATCCATTAATCTCTTTTTTTCTTAATTAGTTTATTATAAGGTTATATGATAATTTCTTGTATCAAGTACTAAATTGTAATTATATAATACTATTATCTTTTATTTATGTAACTATATATGTAATAATTTCTAGGAAAAATAACAAAGTGTTGCACTTGTTGGCATTTGATCCTTTATCTTTTTTTTTGTCCTTATTATACCATTAAACTTGTTAATCCTGTTCACTAAGACCCTCGTGACCCGTTATCTGTTTTGCTGGTTTCCTTATTTTAAAACGTTTAATTAAGGATGACATGTCGTATTACATGGACTTAGAACACATTTCATTCCCGTTTCTCTTTCACCCCCTGTCTCCTTAAACTTAGGGTTCATAGTGAAATTGAAGACAACAGTTCAGCCGAAGATTACTGTTACGAAATTGAAGAGAACCGGTAAATGCGAGTGTTATAGTGAAGAAGATGGCCTTCAATTCCAGACAACATTAGTATTTGATAGTTTATGTACGTTATAATGGTTTGTCCGCACCAAAACTGTTAGTATACTTAAACGTAGTTGTTGTTTCAATCTGTGATGTCGATTTTGGTGCAATGGATCTTAAAGAGTTTATTTTGTTCCTTGAAAAGTTGATTGAATGTAGTTTCTGATAATGTATATTACCACACTAGAAATGAACCATTGGCAGAGGGTTTTAAGAGAATTGGGAATGGTGTTGACTGCTTTGAGTTTATTGATAAGGGCTATAGTGATGAAAATGGTCTAAGAATGAATGTGCATATAGACCACGGAAATGAACTTGTACTTGATTGGGCTGATATTGAAGTAGTAGAAGATGATGAAGGGCATGATTCTGAGCAAGACCCAGATGATGACAACGATTCACAACTTTTTGATGATATTCCATATGAGCATGAAGCAGATGATGAGATTCCTTCTCTGGACAAGACTAGTTGTGATGAATTTTTTCACCGGGTGTCAGGTATTTAGTTTTGTTTTGAGTTTAGCCATCTCGATGCTGCATTTGATGAAATCAGCTAGATTTGATGGCCAGGAAGACTAATTATTTCTCTTCCTCAGAAATAGTTTTTCGAAAGAAAGTGGCTCTTTCTCGGACTGGAGTGCTAAAACGAATTCCTTGTTTACCATTATATCATCATCATCTTCTTCTTCTTCAGTTGTTTCTTCTAATTGTTGGAATTCCGAGCTTGGCTTCAATCTAGTCATAGCAATTTCTCCTCCTCTTGCATCGGAAGGCCCGACTTTTGGTGCCATAAAAGAGTTGGCCTTGAGATCTCTGAGCTTATCAAATACATTATGAAAACTAACATTTACCATTTTGGTGAGGTTATCATAGGCATTGGTAGTTGGGGCTTGAGCTTGCACAGTTTTGAGGATATCTTTTAAGATAGAGAGGACCTCATTGAGCTTGTAATTCGGAATGTCCATAAAATGTTGGGTAGACCGAATAACTTGGATCAACACTTGCTGCATTATAAGATTCATGTCATCTTTAGCTCGGATATCCTTCTACAGGCGCATGATCTGCTTCTGATGACGAACATGGGTTTGCTTGATAAGTTCGTTTGTAGCAGACACCAAGTTATCATGGACTTTTAGCATTTTTGACATGGTCTCAATGTAAGTATCTAGATTTTTTTAAATATATGCGATCCGACTCCTCGAGGGAGTGTTTGAGATGCAGGGAGATGAGCTGATCCAACTGTTCTTCTCTTTCTTTAATCGAAGGGGTGGGAACTTTATCTCGGAAATGGATTTAAGGACTAAGTGAGTTATGAATCGAGAGCTTTAACCTGAGCATTCACAGTATGTACCTTTTTGTCGACATGATCAATCTTTTCCCGAATTTACAGAATAGTGACGGGATCTGCAATGAGATCCTTCATTGTATTTTCTTCTCTCTTCATCACTATCCTCACCACTATCATTAGGTTTACCTCCAACAACACCACCAACTAGAGGTGCTTTTACTTGATTCTCTTCTCCACTATCATCCAGGTCCATGTCATTAGAAGCCAAAGTCGATTTGGGATTTGGAGGAGGAAGCCTAGAGGAGCTGAAATTTTAAACTTGAAGGAAGCACATTAGTGATCTCGATATCTCATCTTTCAAACATCATCTCCACACATAAGTCTACATCACCATAAAGAGGATCATCTGAAACCGGAGTAGAGTCGAGAACATCTCCTATAGCTTCATTGTTGATACGATGAGGCTCATCCAAAAGAGTTTTATCGGGAACATCTACACTCGGTTCTTTACCAGCATCATCATTCCGAGGAGGCTCATCCGAATTTATTTTTGGATCGTGCACATCTACACTCAGAGTCTTTCCTGCAACAGTGGACGATGGATCATCCATGGGAGTGGGAACATCATCGGGAGTTATAAAAGTGGACGTGTTGATTTCATCACCAGCATCAGAAAGGAACAAATCAACATCAACATCCAACAGGAACTTGTATTCTCATGTAAAGATACCAGTAACTCTATTATGCATCCCAGTGATTGTATAGTTAAAAGTAATATTATATAAAAAATTATAATGTTATCTTTAAAAACAAAAATAATGTTTGTTGTTTTAAATAATTACAATCAAAGAAACTAAAATATTCATCAAATAAATTTTAAAAAAGTTAAATTTATTAAACCAAATTAAAATAATGAAGAGTTTCCAAATTCGTTATTTTAAATAACTTAAAACAAAAATAGTTAAAAGTAATATTATATACAAAAATTGTATCGTTGCCTTTAAAAACAAAAATAATGTTTGATATATTAAATAATTACAATAAAAGAATTTTAAAATCTTAAGCAAATAAACTTTTTAAATTAATTAATCATAACAACTATAAATATCATTAGACCATATATTATATTTAGTTTTATTCATGAGGAACCCATAGGTAGAGGTCATTGAGACAATTATGATTACAGAATTTAAAAAGATGTCTATATTATCATATAATTCAAAACAAAAAAATGTTTGTACCAACTTATTATAAGATTTATTATGTAAGAGTTAACAACAACTTCATTGATATATTTAAAAAACATATATTTGTAAAGATTTCAAATATATTGTTGTATTCTGCGCAAAGCGCGGATATTCGCCTAATATACTTATAAAAGAGTCATTTTTACTTGCACCGGATGCATTTGAAACCTCCATAACTTTTCAATTTCTTTGTTATAATTATTATAAATTGGTTAATAATGTTAAACTAATGTAAAAACTAAATTCTAATCATAAATTAACTAATCACTACTAGAAAATGAGGCATCAGCGACGGAATCAGTGACGGAAAAAATCCCTAGCTAATTAGCGACGGATTTATAAGGGATCAACGACGAATGTCATTTTGTATGCCTAAAGCATAAATTTTAACATATTATCGTCGCTGATTTTTTTTACTTCCCTACCAAACATTTCGCTTCCCCCCTTTTTTCCCTCCCAATTATTTTCATTAACCCATTCTCCCTCCTAAATCGACGCTCACATCTCATGCTTGGTTCTGAAATCCAAAGTCCAAATCGACACCCATCTCCTAAATTGACCCTCACATCCCAAATTGAGTACCGATATTCATCTTCTTATCGTTCTTGAAACTCGATTCCAAGAGAAGAAGAAACCCTAGCCAAAACTCTCGATGCCACGACGGCCCTTCTTGCCGATAACGCTTCACCGTAGTAAGTTTCTAAGTCTTTGACTTCTTTTCTTTAGGTAATGTGTTCTTGATTTAATGGCTTATATTCTTGGGTTAATTTGTGGATTTTTTCTTCGGTTCTACTTTTAAATATGAGAAAAAGAAAATGAAAGAGAGAGAAACATAAACACGGGAGTAGCAGATAGATGACACCACCGTCTTTGATTCTTTCCGACCACTGCATCAATAGCCGAGGCTGATATCCATTGCACCACCGCCTGAGTCTCTCTCACCAAAATCCTGATTCCTCAACACCAAGGTTTTTCTCTCTCTATCTAACCATGTGTTTTTATTTCATAAGAACAAAAGTTGGAGATGTAGAGGAAGTGAAGAAGGAGATGAATTTAAGTAGTAAATGTTTTGCTAGTGTTGTAGATTTGGAACATGGAGATTACCTCCAGAAGAAATTTCATCACTTTCAAGTTTCAATGTTTAAGGTATATCGTAATTTTTGACTCTTTAGAAAATAAGATATATACTTATTTTAAGTTTGCATTCGTTGTTGTAGAATTATAATGTGGGAAATCTTGCTCATGTGTTATACAAAAAAAAAAAACTTGGCGAAAGATGTTGTAGGTAACTTCTATTGCTACTAGACAATGATGTATATGGGTGTTTGACAAGGTAAGAGTTTTTTGGTACAAGAAAAAGAAAAGGGCGTCTATCATACATGTTTTAGGTAACCAATTAACTATTTCCTGCAGCAGGCCTCAGTTGGTATGGATTTAATTGATTTTGACATACCCATTTCTTTCGCCTCTGTTATTAAACTACTTGGCATGGTTTTCATTTTGGCCTCAATGACATGACAAGTTCTTATTGCATCATCCAACTGTAAGTCAAATGCACAGGTAAGAAGTGATGAACCATCTATTAGGGTTTCAATGGCTTCTTATGCATGAACTTGATGAATTTATGTGATCTATGTTGGATTAGGTGTCTAAGCCCATAACTATAATTGGTATGTACTTGAATTGATAGCAGCACAGTCCTTTTGGGTTGCCCTCAACCTAGTAACTGGACAAGGAAATTATGAAAGGAGAGATATTAATTTATAAGATTAATAAATTAATATGTAAATGATTTATTAATATGTTAATGGATTAATATATTAATTAGAAATCATTATGTTTAATTAATAGTTAGCCAGAAATTAATCAGAATTAATTTTGGGGTTAAAAGAATTAATTATGAAGTGCAGGGACTAGTTTGCAATTAACTAATAGTTGAATGGAAGGATCCAGAACCTCATTGGATGGAGGTGGACGAAATCCATAGGGGAAACCCTAGAGATTTCGTCCAAGGGGTCCAAATAAGGCCTTTGGATATTGCTTAGGCCCTAAGCAAAGGATAACTAGGGTTTTCCCTAAACCCTAGATCCCTCAGCTATTTAAGGAGCCTCATGGCTCACATTTGAGGTCACTGATTTCTTGGGAAGAAACCCTAAGGCCGAAATTGCATACTCTCTCCATCCTCTCTCCTCCAAGTTTCCTTCTTGCTAGTTCTTGGGTGTGATTCCATTAGAGGCATTACATTTGTGGTGCTAAGCTTCCAAGAAGATCAAGATCAAGATCAAGAGGATTATCAATTGTTTGCTATAACAATTGAAAGGTATGTAACTCCTAAACCCTAGTTTGTTAATTTCGAAATTAGCCTCTCTCCTGTAGGGTTCTTGTTTTGCAATTCAAAGTTATATGTTCAATAGTTAAAACATAGATCCAAAGTAGGTTGCATGTGAACTTAGAAATTGTTTTCTAGTTTATTTGTTTTACCTAAAACCCATCAGTGGTATCAGAGCCATTGTTTGTTTTAAATTGAATTGTTATAATTGTTGAATTGCAAATTAGGGTTTATAGCTATTAAACCCTAAAGGCCAAATTTTCGATTTCTAGGGTTTTGGATAAAAGGGTTTTTTCGAAAACCCTAGCCTCCAAAGAACCCTAATCGAAATTAGGGTTAGGGTTTTGAAAACCCTAGCCTCCTCCCTTGTAAATTTCGAAATTGCTAGAAGTTTTAGGGTTTCTTGTTTTGGATAATTGTTACTTAATTAGATTAATTGGATAACTTTCCTTACCCTATTTTTTTGAAATTTAGAGGGATAAGGATTAGGATTAAATTAATTGATTAATTTAATTAGATAATCCTTACAAGATTTAATAATTTGATTAATAGTTAATTAAAAGATAAATATTAAATCTAGTTAATTGGTTTATTTAAATTTAAATTTAATAGTTTGAATTTCGAAATTTATATAAACCCTTG